ATTGCCCTTGGAACAACAATGATTCAACGTGTTCATCATCATCATCATCATCATCATCGATAATCGGTTTTCGTTTCTCTATAGAGAAAATTGATGATAAACATGCTCACACACACGTACACAATTGAATTTGATGATTAATATTGATGATGATGATGATTAAAATGAAATGCTGAAACTCATGTTCAACATAGAGAAAAAAAAATCATTGAATTTTGCATGATTTCTATCACATTGCTGTTGATTATTATTAATGTTGTATGTATTGGCAAATATTTGTATTAGATTCCAGCCAACCAATGCCTACATTATTGTTGATATGTATGGAGTAAAAAAAAACCTGAATAAATCAATGAACAAACGAAAGAAAAATTTTTTTTTTTGCTAATCGATACGGCGACCACACCACACTAACACACCACCATATGGAACAAATACGCATATAATAAATAAATAGTCAGCTAAAAAAAAACATGTGAATTTTTCTTTTCTTTTTGTTTTCTTGCACAGTGCATGATAATTAAAAGCCAAAAAAATTGTCTCAATATGTGCCATGTATTTATGTATGGTGTGTGTATGTGTATATAGTCAACAAAAAAAAAACGAAATCAACAAGTGATCATCATTCAATCAAATGATTTTCATGTTATTTGAGAAGGCTAAAAAAAAATAATCATTGTCGTCGTCGTCGTCGTCGTTGTTTTTTTGGTTCGTTAAAATTAATAAATCATCATCATCATCATTATATATAAAATGGCTGAGTGTTTGGTTTAGGGTTATTTGTGGTAATTCGATATTTTTTTCGATTATTATTGCATTCAATTTGATTTTTGGTTAGTTGGGTTCAATGACGACTATGATGATGATTCACTTGCAGTGAAAAAAAATACGTCTAACAAATCTATGAATGACTCATTTATGATGTTCTGGGTTTTTTTGTTTGTTTGTTTGCATCCTCAATAAACATCGATAACATCACATCAAAATTGTGGCTGCTGCTGATGATGATGATGATGATGATGATAGGATATATATCCAATTATAAACCATTAGAAAATTGTTATTTTTCCCTTGAGATCTGGATTCAGATCGTTTTTTCTTCTTCTTCTTCTTCATTTTTAAATTCTATAAATCAAATATAAATCCTTCTCTTTCTCTTTTTGATTTTATGTATTTTTTATTTAAGACTTTTAACGATTCAAAAAACAAACAAAAGATGAAAAAAGTTTTTTAAAAAAAATTTCATTCAAAAAAAAGCCAAGATGTGCTGTCCTAGATTTTTAAACACACACACACACACACAGACATTTAAGTTGATTAACTCATCATCATCATCATCCGCTGTAATCATGTCATAAAAATAACCAGCTAAAACCAACCGAATCGATCCATTGATTGTATAATGGATTGTGTGTGTGTGTGTGTGAGTGTTTATTTGAAGAAAAAAAAATTAGCTGGTTTTTTGAAAAAAAATCTTTCTTTACACACAATTGTGCATATTATTTTTTGGGCTTTTTGTTTGTTTTGTTTTGTTTTTTTGTTTAAGAAAAAAAAACAAATAAAAATCACGTGATCAGGATTTAAGATTCATATATTCATTCACATCCATATTGTGTGTGTGTGTGTGTAAAAAGGTTTTTTCCGTGGAAAAATGAATGAATCATCGACGATGATGATGTCATCTTCTTTTTCGTCGTTTGTTTAGGTTATTTTTAACATTATTTCCTCAAAAAAAACATGATGAATATTTTTTTTTTGTTTTGTGTTGTTTCGATTCCGTGTTGTTGTTGTTGTTTGCATAGATGCAAAAATAATCCATACACACACACACTGATGAAATAATAACAAGATTTATATATACGCCCCCGCGCCGATTTTTTTTTGTTAAAAAAAAATTCAAAAACTGTGTGTGTGTATGTGCGTGTTTAAAGCAAAACACTTGCACGCGTAATTCGCGTTCCAATTTTATCCGATTCATACACACACACACACACATCAATCCATCCATCTATCTATCTATCCATGCATAAATAAGTTATAGCCCTATCATAGGATAATTGTTTTTTTTTTTTTTGGTGGATAGAAGCATTCAACAAATGTCTATCTATTTTATCTCTTGATGGATATATTGATATATAGACATACACACACACACACAGATGGTCTTCTCTTGTTTTTTCGTTAACTTTCTATAAATATGTGGTTGTTGATGATGAATATGGCTGCTAGCAACTGGTTGTAATCATCATACACAAATACACACACACAAAAGTCTCATTTTTTTTCTTTCTCTCATTTTCTTGGTTTGGTGGATTTATATATCTAAAAAAAAAAAAAAAATTCAATTCACACACAACTGCCTACAGTATTGTGCAGTTTTTAGATGTTAGTGATAGAGAGAGAGAGAGAGAGAGAGAGAAAAAGCCAGAGCCATTCAGTCTGGCTTATTTTATTATTATTGTTGATGATGATCATCATCAACAACACAGCAACAAACAGCACCCAACAAATACAGCAGCAGCAGCAACAACAACAACAACAACCATAGGCCATACAAAAATAGTGACCATCAATTTCATTCAGTTATTCCATTCAGTTTTGATGATCTATTATTGTCGGTAGCATACACACACACACTGAGAGATGAACACACAGTCTTGATGGTTGTTGTTGTGGACAGGTTTTCCTCGTTTGGCTGATTGTCAAAAGAAAAAAAAATAGAAAAATTTTCGTTGTACTAGGATCCTATCAAACCAAACGATCATCAACGTTTTACCAATTTTTTTTTGTCTGTTAAATGTTTTGTGGTGTGTGTGTGTGTGTGTGTGTGTGTGTGTGGAGGTGTATCAATATCTTTTGGTTTTTACCATTGGATCGTGTATTAACCAACCAACCAACCAAACAAACAAATATCGTTCATTGATGAACAGACGTTTATTTGATCAACAATCGTCTATTCTCAAAGGTATCGTTAGTTTGACGTTTTGATTTTTTTGTTGTTGTTGTTGTTTATTCGATCGATTGATTCAAGTTTCATGATCCATGTGTTCTAACCGTAATATTTTTGTGCACGACCTCTCTATACCGATGATCATCATCTGCTTCATTATTTCGTCATTTGCAAAAATTCGTTTATTTGACGTTTTGTTGTTCGAGGTTGTTTGTTCATCTCTTCTTATATGAATCTTCTGTCGTTTTTTGGCATTCAATCATCATCATCATCATCATCGTTCGGTCGGTTAGTTCGTTGAATCTTTAAGTGTAACTTGTATTTGTTTAAAATATCCGTGTTTTTTTTCAAGTGTTGAACGCGTCAATCGGTTTATTCCGTTTTCGTTTCGTTTTTTCCTGACATCACCATGGTGTTGTTGTCAGTGCGTCAAAAATCTTAGATCACATCAATATGATTGGTGATAAATCAAAGTGTTTATAATGTCAAAGAGAATTTTGCTCCAAAAAAAAAAAAAAAATTTTTTATCATCAAAATCCTTTTTCATCTTTAAAATCTTGTATGTAGAAATAAAATGTCTTGTAATCAACAACAACAACTAGAAGAAGATTTTCTCAAGAGAATTTTTATTTTATTGTTTCCAATGATGATGAAATCAAATTTTCTTTGTTTGTTTATTTGTTCAGATTAATTATTTGTTCATCATCATCATTAGTTTTACATATTGAAATAAATGGATTTGCTATTTTTGAAAATCTTACGCAAATCAGTCATTTTATGATCAATTCATGATGTGGCCTTCATTATACAATGATCATGATGATGATGATGATGATGATTGATTGATATTCAATGTCAAATGGTTGAATTTCTTTTTTTGATTTGTTTTGTTTTGTTTTTCACATTTCACAATCATTGAAATAATCCAAAATCTCTGTTTTTCTCTCTCTCTTTTTTTCACAGTTAATAACCGATGTTGCAAAAGATTTGGATCTAAAATTACAGGATCTATCACCAGATAGTGAAATATTTGAACAGCCTGCTGCTCCTCATACTACTACTAATGGTGGTAATGGTGGTGGAACCATAACGAAAACGAAAAAATTGTCGTCAATCAATTCTAAACAGAAAACAATTGGAATATCTAAGAATGATAATGTCTTCAGAATTGTTAACGAATCGAAACAATCACCATCTACTGGTGCCGAAATCGCCAACACCACCGACAACAACGACATCATCAATGGTTGTACCATTAAAACCGACACGTATCATCAAAACGACAACATTGATGAATCCAAATCATCTACCAATAACAACATCATTATCATTAACGAAATGCAACAACAACAACAATTCCAGTTCATCGATCAAAACACAGAATCATCATCATCATCATCCGATAAAAATATCTTCAATGTCATCATTATCAACAATGAACAACAACAACGACAACAGCAACAATCACCACCTTCGCCACCGAGCCCATTCGCCAATCGAACACAACAAAAACATTGTATTATTCAACAACAATCAGCAACATCATCACCAGCACCTGCACCAACACCACCAGAACCATATAACGATTATCAAATCGACAATAGACAAAAACAACAACAACAACAACCAAAACAAAAACAAAAACAACATCGAATTGTCGGATCATCATCAACAAGTGATTATCAATCAACGAAATCATCAACATCGAAAATCACCGATAATAATCAACAACAACAACAACAACAACAACAAAATTCTTTCTTTAATACAACAATTCAACAACAACAACAACAACAGCTTAAATGTAAGTTTTAATGATTTTGTTTTGTTTTTAGTGTTTTTTTCAATTTTTTTCCATTTGCTTGCTTGCTTTGATTTTGATTGATTTATTTGTCCAATTGATTGATTTGATTTGACATTTCAGTTTGTAATGATTTTGTTTTTATTTGTTTTACATGTTAATGTTTCGTTTTGATTTTCGTTTGTTTTTTCACCACCTTTTTTGTTGGTTTTCGTTTATCATGACAAACACACACATTGTCAAATTTTGTTGTTGTTGTTGATCTATCTTGTTTGCTTTCTATTTCTATTTTTGCTCATCGTTCATCTTTATTAACGACGACAACGACTAATTCAAAATGCTTTCATCGATATAAACGTTTTAAAAGCTTCAGATATTGTTACCTGCTGCTGCTGCTGCTTTTATTGCTAATGATGGTAATGGTGGTAATGGTGGTGGTGGTGGGAGTTTTTCAAGTACGAAAAAACCGTCGATTAATGTTGCTACAATCGATGATAAAATGATGATGATTGATCGATTTAAAAAATCATCTGTATCATTTTCATTGTCATCAACAACATCGACATCAACACCACCGAAGATGGTGACATCAATGAAAAAAATTTTGAATAAAAAAAATTTAACAAAAAACAAATCAAAACCAATATCATCGATAAATCGTTTACCAATGAATAATACATTTACAACGTTTATTTCAAATTCAAATATACCAATAACGAATCCGAACGATTCTTCTGGTTTTCAACTTGTAAGTGAAAAAAAAAATTTTATTTCGATGACACTAAATGATGATTGAAAAAAAAACACACAACACACACATGCACACACTAATCTATAATTCATATCTCGTCGTATCGATGATGATGATGATGATGATGATGATGATCGTCAACCAAAATAACGAATAAATATTCATTTCATTTAAATTATTCAAAGAAAAATTGAAAACAAAATAGTTATGATGATGAAAAATCATCATCATCATCATCATCATGATCATCATTTATAAGTTTCACGAAACTAAGAAATATCCTGTTTACGCAAATGATTAATGTGAATTTTTTTTCTCATCTCATCTTATCTCATGTTTCCGGTTTCTACCGAGTTTTTTTTTATTCAGAAAGTTTTCATTTCATTTTTATTATGCTCATCGGAACTTTTTTGTTTTGTTTCGAAACAAAATCTTCACCGAATTTGGTGGACGTGGGAACCAAAATTTTATTGTTGTTGTTGTTGTTCCAGAAAAAAAAGAAATGCAAATGAAACGACAAACAAACAAACAAAAAAATTTTATTTAAGGCACTTGATTATGTGAACATCTGGAATAACGTGTGTTCTTGACCATTGTATAATGATTCCTGTGTATATCTATTATTCCCATTGTCCATTATTATTGTAATGATGATGATATGGGTCACGTCATTGCAATAATAATTTCTTTAACTGAAAAAAAACAACAAAAATTCTTTGGAATTCATTATCGATCTTCGATTTTTGGACCACCAGAACGTGAATAATAATTACTGTAATCCCACCAATATTGTTGATATGGATTATAATAAGTCGTACCTGTTTGAGTCGTGTCGTTTTGCTTCTTGTCGACCGTTGTTCATATCGTGATGACTCGTGGATTGTTCCTCGTTTCGCGTATCATTGATTTGTTCATCACGGTATCTAATCATCTGTTGTATCATCTTTGTTGTTACCGCTAGACGTCGCTCCTTGTTGCTTTGTTGTCGAACTGGATGATGATGTTGATTCGTTGCTGTTGCATCTTTAGTTGTCAATCTTTCAAATTGTCGTTCCATTTCAATCAACGAATCTTCAATACTTGGATTATCACTAGCCATCATTCTCATATCGTCGAGCTTTCGATTGATTAAATTTTTATCGTATTCTGTGGCTTCGTGACGTTCTAGGCGTTCCAATCCTTTTCGTAATATCGTGATGGTATTACCGATTCGTGCCAATTTATCAATCGTATGCTTCCAATTGTCGAAATTCGTCTCTTCGTCCTTGGTCAATGATCCCTTTTCGATGATGACGTTGCTTAACCGATAATAGTGATTTTTCAGCTGCTTAATTTCCTGTGGATTGATTTCGTCGCCTAATCCGATCATCATCGTGTTGTTCGCGATATGTATTTCGTTACATACTTTTTTGACTTCCGTGCGTAATTCATCATCCGTCATTGCTGTTATCGTGCGTGTTAATACCATCGTGAATATTCGTAAAAACCATAAATTTCGTGCTTCGTGAATCGTAAATTGACCGTTTGTACCGTACGTAAATTGTAAATTTCGTGAATCATAGATGTTCGTAAATCGTGAATTTCGTGAATCGTTATGTTCGAGAATCGTGAATCGTAAATCGTACCTCGTACGCTATCGTGAACGTGAATCGTAGATCAAACCCCGTACGTCGTCGTGAATCGTAAACGTAAATCGTACCTCGTACGTCGTCGTTAATCGTGGTTTCCGTAATACGACACACACACAGACACTAATTTCTATGTGAGTGAAAATTCGATGCTTTAGCTAATTAATTCAAATCAATTTACCCGCTTACAAAGATTTGTGAATAAAATTCTTGCACTTGCACTTGCACACTAGCAAACACACTTGGAAAATTAATTTGAGAGCAATTCTGGTGTCCAAAGGGAAATTTTTCCACTTAAAGTGAAAATTAATTTAAACGGTTCTCTTTTTTTTTGTTCGAAAGGCTTTTTTGTAATCGTTTTTCTTTGTATGGTTTTGCCTTGACATCATCATGATACATTCTGTGAGATTCTGTGATGTTCTGGAGAGGGGAATTTTCTTCTTTTTTGCAATATTCTGCAGTTTTTTTTCTTGTGTGTATGTCTGGTTTTTGTCTTGCTGATTCATCATTTGACTTTAGTCTGAAAAGACGAAAAGATTCATTCAGCTTAAATGGTTTCTCTATGTCGTTGTCGTTCATTATTCTGTCATTTTGAAATATTTTCTTTCACTTTATTTTGTTTCACTTTTTTTCAGAATTTTTTTTTATTCTTTATTTAATAAAATTGTTTCTAATAGTTTTTCGTAATATATAAACGATTTATATTATCGGCGTAGGCGTCATGAATTGCTCATTGTTATCTATGTGGTAATTGATGAATAATGAAAAATTGAACGGCAAAAAAAAGTAACAATTTTTTATTATACGGCAATGATTCTGATGATGATGTACTGTTGAAATTGCATATTTCAAACGTTGAACGAAATTATTAGTTTCGTTTCATCATTATCATAGGGTTTAACCTTTCTCTCTTGCTCTCTATTCTTAGACCATGAAAACGGGTTGTATGTATGTGACATATGATTATGGTGACAACAACAAATGATGATGATGATGATGATTAGGCGACATGTATAATTTTTGTTTTTAGATTTTTTTTTGCTCGTTGTTGTTGTCCTACATAGAAAACTGGATCTAATCTATTTTCATGCATGGATGAATTGGTTTTTTCTTCAATATCTATACGAAAGGAATAAGAAAGAAAAGAAAATTGTTATATATTGATGTCGCAAAGGTGTCATATGGCTGTTGTTGTTTTTCGGTTTTTTTTTGTCATTCATTCTGATGCTCCTTAATAATTAATTATGGACCGAAATGAATGTTTTTTTTAATTAAAAAAAATGTAATTTTTCTCTTGATTCCATTGAATTGTCTGTGTGTGTGTGAGTGTTTTTATTCCATTCCATGAAATTTTGTTTGTCTTTTTGTTTCCTGCGAATTCAAAATGAAAATAAAAACCACACATTGACATTCAACCATCATTCCATAATTGGCAGTCATTTTTTTTTTTTATTTTTAAACCAGGTTGTTGTGTTGGTGGTGGTGGTGATTTTTTTTTTTTTTTTGATTAACTGATTAAATGAACCAAGGGGGTTTAATTTGAAAAAGTAGCGGCACAGTTTGGTTCATTCCACATTGAGAGATAAATGATGAAGATTTTTTTTTTTTTTTCTTGTTTAAATCGATTTTTTTTCAACATTTTACTTGAATGATGAGATTTTTTTTTCGATTTAGGAATTAAAAAAAAATTCAAGTCAACTCTATTTTTTTAATGTGCAGAGTGATAGCGGTAATATCTTGATCTAGTTTTGTTTTTTTTTCACTTGTCATCACTGTGATAGATTTTTTTTTTAAATTTAAAATTTTTCTCTACGTACGTGGGTGATGCTGATGATACGAGAGCTGCTTGATCTTGTATCAGCATCACAGTTATAGAGAAAAAAAACTGATAAAAAGAATCTTAATTTTTTTTCAAAAAAAAAAAAAAAATTCAATGATTTTTTTTTCATCTGAACTTCTTCACCGTCAATCGATCATTGCTAGTTGAAAAATTTTTCCTTTTCTAGGCTAGATAAAAAATATCCTTCCGAAAACTGTATATTAAACGGATTTTTTCTTCGATACTGGTATGTTGTGGTTGTTTATTATCATTATATGAATTGAAATTAAATTTTACGACGTACATTTTTTCAGTTGACATGAAACAGAATGGATTTTCTTTTCATTTTTTTTTTTGTCTTTTTTTTCCATTGAATGAATGAATTTCACATGAATGGCCATTGTATATTCTATGGAATTTTGACTGACAGCATTGCAGAACTCGCACAGAATTCATGGCTTTTTTTTTTCATTAGTGTGGAATAGAAACCAGAATTGTGGAATTTTTTTTTCTTTTCCTTTTCATTTATTCTGGGAAAAACCATGCCGCATTATTATTATATATTAATCTTCATTCCTTTTGTTTTTTTTTCTCGTTTCTATGAGTCGACTCTTGATACAAACATTTTGTGTCAGTCAGTTGTAATTTTTCACCATCGATCAATCGATGGTTAAACATAAATTTGACAAATTTCAAAATCAAAATCATCATCATCATCATCATCGTTGATGATGATCATCATGACCATAATAAGTAGACCGTAACGTGAAAAAAATGTAGTTTGTAAGTAAGTAAAAAATTTAAACAAACAAACAGTGAGAGAGAGAGAGAAAACTTCCAATTAAGCGATTATAATCTATAAAATAATAATAGCGATACCTTTGTTTTATTTACGCTCTCAATTTTCCAAAAAGTAAAAATGAATGAAAAGCCGAAAATTGATGATGATTATGATGAACTTTACTAGTTTTTATTATTGATCCACCAAAAAAAAAAAAATTGGCGTGGGTTGAATCAGTTTTTGCTGTTCTTTTGACCTCTGAATCATGTATGGCTTAGTAGCATATTGAATGAATTATCATCATTGTGTCGTCGTCCTACATACACAAATGCACACGATATTAAAAACTTTCTACCACACATGACAATAATAAACAAATCGGACAAACAAATTAATATCAAAAAAAAAAAAAAATCATCGGACATGATGATTTCTATGCGATTGGGTCAAAAAGGAAAAAAACATCGTAATCATCTAGTTGTTGTTGTTGTTTATAGTCATCATCATTAAAGTTAAACTTTAATCTGATGATGATCAATGGACAATCGTCGTTTATTTTTGATTTTTTTTTTCGGTAAATACCATGTCCATGTTTCCACATCCATCAATTTAAAATGAAGAAAAAATGACTGGGATTTTTTTTGTCCTTGTTGTTGTCGTTGTTTATGTGTCACCCAAATATATATTTTTCTCGTTGTTTCATTTATAATAACATCGTTATGATTTCAATGATTAATTGTCACCATCATTTATGGTCGATATCATCTGAAATGAAATGAAGAAGAAATCTATTTTTTCATTTTTTTGTTTTGTTTATTTGGTTGGAATTTTTTAAAATGTCCAAGGTCGAGTTGATCAATGGACAATCGTCGTTTATTTTTGATTTTTTCGGTAAATACCAAATGTTTCCACATCCATCAATTTAAAATGATGAAGAAGAAGAAAAAAAATGACTGGGATTTTTTTTGTCCTTGTTGTTGTCGTTGTTTATGTGCACCCAAATATATATCTTTTTCTCGTTGTTTCATTTATAATAACATCGTTATGATTTCAATGATTAATTGTCACCATCATTTATGGTCGATATAGCAAAATTTTTCATTTTTTGTTTTGTTTATTTGGTTGGAATTTTTAAACATGATGATGATGATGACAGTTTGGCTTGAACAGATGCTGTTTTTTTTTTGGTTATTTGTTGGTGCAAATCTCACCTGGTGGTAATCAAAATTTTTTCATTTCATTTCACTTCGTTTCGTTTTTCGTTTTTTGTTCATCATTTATGACCTATGAACCTGAGGTTTTTATCCTCATCATCATCATTGGAATTGAAGCTATTTTGGATGCATATTCAAGGAATTTGATAGCTTTTTTTGTTGTTGTTAGTGTGTCAAGAAGAATGAAAAAAGAAATCAAATCAGCTGCTTGCTTGCTTGGTTCGACTATCTTAATTGTTTAATCTTCGCACTTTTTACTACTACTGATGATGATGATGATGATGATTGTCTGGCTGGACTAATTCTAATTTGTTTTTTTCTCGTCTGTTAATGCTTTTAGGCTTTGGATAAGGAAACATTATCGATGACGACGGAAACATCCGAATTGACCAAGCCTAATATCGTAGTAAAACAAATGTCGTTGTCACACAACAAAAACAACGATAATGATGATCGAAAATCGGATGACAATTATGATCAACATGAAAATGATACAACAACAGCAACAACAGTAGACGTTCTTGCATTATTGCCAGAAGGTAATGTCGATGATGATGATGAATTAGATCACGAAGAAGAAGACGACGACGACGACGATGATGATGATGATGGTAGAGAAATTGCCTATGAAGTTGATGCTGATGATGAACAAAGTAATGATATGCTTGACGATAATACCGATGATGAAGAGGAAGATGAAGATGATGATGGTCCTAAATCTACAAGTCCTGGACCAGTAGCAGCTGGTTCAATAGTCACTAAAATTGATCCATCAACCAAATCAATGGTTCAAGTAATTTCAATTATGAAAAATCATTCTCATACTCATCAACAAAAGAATCAGAATCAACAACAACAACAACAACAACCAAAAACAATTACATCGTTTATTAATCAAAAAATGTTGAAAGACGAAATCATGAGACCGGCTGAATCCGAAGATTCAGCTGCCGATGTTAGTTATGAACGTACTAGTGATCTTGCTGAATCTGATGATCTAGAAGGAGAAGAAGAAGAAGAAGATGCAACAACGACAACACTTACTACGGTTGATACAAATAATGTGAATAATTTGGATTCCGTGAAAGAATTGTCATATGATCAACGATTCAGAATGACACAGACAATTTGGTATCTGCCACATATAAATCGTGCTACGGTCGTTCATTATCTTCAGGGCAAAAATGTCGGTGTTTTCATTGTAAGTTTTCTTTCATTGTATTTAAAGACACAAATGATTTTCTCATTTTCTCTATTTTTAGGTTCGACAATCAAGTAAACCGAATACAATGGCTGTATCCGTACGATTACCACAAGGACGTGGTCCACATGTTGAACATTATCTTATTGAGAAAATTACCAAAGCACCAGTATCATCATCAACGACAAAATCATCATCGACATCGTCAGTTTTTCGTTTAGAAGGATCTGAACATTATTTCAATTCAATTCTACAGCTAGTTATCCATTATTCACAATGTCAAGATGAATTACCTGTTCAATTAAATTTGCCATCGGTTTTATTAAATTCTGGCCGTAGTCAATTAACATCATTAGCATTGCTTGGTCAAGAATTTTGGCAATCAAAATTTGTTTCGTTGAAACAATTGCCAAAAAATTCTCTTAACAATGAAACATTGGCTATGATTAATCAAAATCAGAATCAACAACAAGAACCACCACCTCAACAACAACAACAACAACAACCTACAAAACATTACAATCGACAAAAAGCTCGACGCCATAATTCCAATTCTAGTGAATCGAATCAATCAAAATCATCTATGTCAATGTCACCGATGCCACCGCCGTCAATTTCAATTCGTTCACGTCGAAATACCTCAGATTCAGCATCACCTACAACTATGCCATCACAATCAAATGCTGTTTCACCGACACCGCCACCTTTACCTCCTAAAAATCTTTCAATGACATGTGGTGGTGATCATCAATCAAACAGTCCATTGATGATGATTAATCCGACAAAAACTATCAATGAAGATTCAATATCATCACCAATAACAGCAACAGCAAATACGACTACAATCGTTGAAGTGCATAATAATCCTACAATCAAAAATCATAATCATCAAAATAATTTGCCTAAACTACCACCAAGAATACCAAATTATGTGCCTCCACCGATTCCACCTCGTAATCGTAATTCACCAAATGGTGGTGGTTCAACAACACCGCCTCCATTGCCTGCAAATGGTCCACCATTATCGAGTCTACGTACGAAAAAACCTTATCAATCAAATCAACAATCGAAACCGGCGGCATTACAGGATCTACTCAGTCCAATGTCAATGACTGAATCAGAGATTGAAATGGCTAAATTTTCTTTAACACATAAAATTACACCAAATATTTTGGAAGTAGAAGAATACAACGACGATGATGATGAAATTTCCAATAATTTATCTCTACAATACAGAAATTATTACAATCAAATGATTCAGGCACCACAACATCACCATACATCATCATTGTCACCTGTACCGATCATGATCGGTGAAGAGGAAATAAAAAATCAACAAACACCATCACCTGCACCATTACCACCACAACATTCACTAGCGGCCGTTACGGAATTACAGCCATCAATCGATGCTCAGCAACCACCACCGCCACCATCATCATCGATAAAATGTGATGTATGCACACAAACTTATGATACAAATAAACAATTATTATTGACACCAAACCAATCACAAATGGGTCGAATCACACGTGCCAATTCATCATTATCATGTTTTTATATGGATCCCATCGATGCTTTGGTTGCTATTCATCAACAGCATCAACAACCAAAACGACATTCGGATCCAGAATTGGCTAGTAATAGTCAAAATACTATGGATATGGAATCTTCTTCATTGAATCCAACAACGTTTACGATGAGTCATTCATTGGAAAGTTTATTGGAAAATTTTCGTAATCGTTTTGCCACCGCCGTCAGTGGTTCAGATTTAAATTCAATACGAGAAACATTGATGAATGAACGACGTAATCAATTTATTCATCATCATCATCATCAGCAGCAGAATCAAGGATTGAAATCTTTCAATCCGAAACATGATACTGCGTTCTCCACACTCGATAGTGCTTGGCAATGGCATTCTGGTATTGGTGGTGGTGATCAATGTCACCACAATGGTCGTATTCATCGTTCGATACAAAATCAATTGGCTATGAAAATGTCATTAGCTCAGCTTGAACATCTGAAACGTTCGAGTATCACAACAAATGGTTCAATGAAAAGTGATATCACCACGGTGGAAGATTTGATTAGTGCTAAAGCACCAGAATTAGCTGTACCAAAAATCACACATATTGATTCGATGAATTTGATTAATAAAAAACATCGTCAACAGCAACAACCACTGCAACAAGACAGTTCGGATCGTGAACGTAAACTAACGGCCAAATCGGTTGCTACCGATGTTTGTACTGAATTTTCTGAACCATGGAATATGGATGTGGTTGAATCACTGTTCATTTCCGAACTACATCATGGTGGTGGTCAATCGTCCACAAATCATTGTGGATTAGATTTAGATGATGATGATTCTACGAATTCAACTAGACAATTACTTAACAATGATCTCATTAATTTTAATTCATTTTTATTGAATCAAGAACAACATCCACATGGTTTAGTAGTGCCACAAACAAATGAAGATGATTATGATAGTGTTGCTGAAGATGAATCTGATGAACAAACATTGAATGGACATTTCATTAAACGAGATGATAGTGAAATTACATTGAAAGAAAAAAATCCACAACAGCCACGAAATTCATCATCGTCTACGGATGATGGTATCAAATTGAATATTGCTTACAATATTAGCAATTATGTATTTGAATTGGCTGCACGAAAAGATAATACTTTTGCTAAATCGATTGATAATTTTATTGAATGTACGAAAGAAACGACTGATCCAAATCCTAGCGTGTAAGTATTGATTGATTTGGATTTTTTAATTTTGTTTATTGATTGATATATGTTTGTATTCTCATAAAAAAACAGGATCCTTGGCTACGTTAGACAATTTATGAATGGAATGAAAAATTATCTAATCAAACATGGTGAAGGTGATTTTATTAAAATTGTCCAAAATGAACGAAGTCGATTGAAACCGAATCAATTTTTAAATATTGATTCAATACTTGAAGTTTCATTGCAAAAATTAATCATTAAACCATTGAAGAATTTTCTATACGAATTATTCATTCGTTCACATACAATGTCTGGTTCATTGAAAATTTTATCCACCAACATTAAATTGGCACAAAATAAAACGCCCGAAGAGCTGGGAATCCGTACGGAATTATTGCCAATTGATCCAAGAATTATGGCCGAAATACAGAAAAATTTACGACGATTACAGCAATCTTATTCGCCGATAAAAAAATTAGAACATTTATTACGTTGTATAGCCATATTGAATGGAAATTATAAAGAAAAAATAACATCGAAATGTAGTAGTGATAAACAATCGAAATATAATCGAGCTTTCAGTGGTGATGATTTATTACCCATGTTGGTCTATCTAATTGTTCATTGTGGTGTAATTTCAGCGGAAATTGAATCCGAATATATGCTTGGATTGTTGCATCCATCCATTCTGAATGGCGAAGGTAGCTACTATTTAACGGTTTTATCAAGCGCAATACAAGTGCTGAAAACAATGTATACAGCTGATAATGCTCGAGCATTGGAAGATATTATCACATTGAATGGTGTTGGTGGTGGTGGTCAATCAATGTTTTCAATGTTGAAAGCACAGCCATCAGAAAATCTTCAAAGACAAATGAATTCATCTACGACTAATGGTGGTGGAGCGATGATATCATCGGGTTCTACATGTGCACCATTAGCATTGCCTTCGATAGCCAATATGCAAGCATATATGAAGATTATGATACCAAACGAGCTTACATCAAGTATCACTTGTAAAACTGTACCAGTTCGACATAATATGACAACGAAAGAAGTTTGTCGTATGATTGCGCATACATTTCGTATAACGAATCCAGAAGATTATTCGTTATATCGTATCAAAGAAAATGGTCTGGAAGAAATTCAACTATTGGACAATGAATATCCACAGGTGATAAAATCAGAATTGATGGCACGAAATGAATCCACTATGTTTGCCTATAAACGTTGTGATGCTAAATTTATTTGGCCAATCACTAGCCCAAATTGAGTCATCTTCATTCATTGCTGTTTTTATTACTTTTTATTTTTTCAATTCTCTCAACTTCATTATTCACTCAATTACTCATTCATCATCATTAAACAATTGTAATTAAAATGACAAACAGAAAAAAATTGATCATCAACTTTCAAAAACAAAACTAATAGATCATCGTGTTTGCTAGTCAGTAAAATAACGGGATACAACAAAATTTGTCAGTCAATAAATTGAAAAATTTTTTTGTCCAAAATCCACATACACACATTCACTTTTTTTGATTTTATTTATCTTGATAAATGAATAAATAAATTTTTTTGAATTCTGATTCTGATTAAACAGAATCAATTCCGTTTCATCATTTGTTTTAATTTTGTTTTTTTTCGTCTGGATTCTTTTATTCGCGGTAAAATGATTCGAATTTTTTTTCTTTTTCTGGTAATTTGTAACGTATTCTATGAAGAATACTTTCGTCGTGTTTTTATTTTATTTTATTTTGGTTTGTTTTTTTTTGCGAACTGCTCGTGCTCGTTAATTTTGTGTTTGGTGTGAGAAAACTGGTTGTCTGGTTGTTTGTTCGTTTGCTTGTCGGCCGTTGTTCTAATCGGCCACGGGCTCCCTCTTTGCTCAAATTTCATTTCAATCTCATCATTTCGGCTGCTTGTTTTCATCGTTTTTCCCGGCATAATTTTTTTTTTTGCTTTCATTCCTCTATGTCTGCGAGCAAATTCGAAGTGTTCCCTTTTATTTTTTGCTGAAAAAAAAATTCTTAATTTCTCACCATTCATAATGGCCAATGATGAAGAATTGATGCGTGTGGCTAAAAAGCTGGATAAAATAGCAATTCGAAAGGATACTTCGGTATGTAGCTAATGATTTGAAAAGAATTTAGTGATTATTTATTTATTTTTTTGTTTCCCTCCATCAACAATAACAACAACAAACAGAGTGCTGCACAAGCTGTAGACATTTTGAAAGCATTACAACGAATGAAAATCACATTGGATCAGATACAGAAAACGAATATTGGGAAAATTGTTAATCATTTACGAAAATCAATTCACGACGAAGAGATTAGTTCGTTATCGAAATCATTGATTAAAACATGGAAAAAATTATTGAATGAAAAAGATAATGGTAATGGTGGTGGTAGCGGTGCGGCGATTGGTAGTGGAAACAACAATGGAAACAAAACTTGTAATAATAACGATAATGGAATGATTTCAATGGATTCTATGGCTGATTGTAATAATGATAGTTCTAGATTATCACAATCGTCATCACAATCATCACCGAATATGATCAATGGTTCTAATAATAATAATAATAACAACAATAATTCATCAAATGCAAGTAGTGGTGGCAGCGTTGGCATGGCGTCCAGACGTCCACCACAATTACCCAAACAAACATCGTTTCCTTCTGATACAACTAATTCTGTTCGTCTTAAATGTCGTGAATTATTGGCAAACGCATTGAAACCGGATCCTGAAATGGAAAAAGACGAAGCATTCTATGATGTGGAAATATTAGCCGCCGAAATTGAGGACAATATTTATAAAGAATTTAAAGATACGAATCTTCGATACAAGAATCGTGTTCGTTCACGTGTATCGAATTTGAATGATAAAAAGAATCCTGATCTCAAATTGAATGTACTACGGGGACATATTAAACCCGAAAGAATTGCAGCGATGACAGCCGAGGTTAGTTGATTGATGGGAATTTATTTAATCTCAATATTGAAACGTTGTGTTTTTTTGATTATTTCTAGGAAATGGCCAGCAATGAAATGAAACAATTGAGACAAAAATTCACAAAAGAAGCAATCAATGATGCTCAAATGTCATTAACAGGTGGAACGAAAACTGATCTGATAAAATGTCCAGCATGTAAAAGGAATAATTGTACTTATAATCAGGTATTATCATCGATAACAATATTATCATCATTATTTCACTTGTTTTTCCATTCATTATTTTTTAGGTTCAAACACGTAGCGCCGATGAACCAATGACAACATTCTGTTATTGTAATGAATGCGGAAAACGATGGAAATTTTGCTAAATTTTTGGAATGCGCAATCTTATTGATCAATGAATGAATGAAGGATTTGGCTCATCATCATCATCATCATTTTGTTGTTTAAAACATTAGTATAAAAAAAAAGTTTTTCCATTCATTCTGCCAAGAAATTTATATATAAATTCTAATAATTGATAAACTGCTTCAGACAATTGTTTTAATACACTTCATTACACATAAATTATATATTATATAGTTATTCTATATTTCTTGATGAACAAAACAAAACATTTTTCTTCCTCGGTCATTTTTTTTTTTTTTTTTTTTTTTGATTAATTAATGATGTGGTCAGTCATTCAATCTCAGTCTTATAAAATATTTTATCATCCCAACAATCATTGACAATGATCGATTTGAAAACAAAAAGATAATGATAATTTGGTATTTGTCTCTTAATAAATCAAATTTAAAAAAAAAAAAAGTATATGGAATGATGATTAAACTTTGACATGAAACTCGATCGTTTGAAATTTGATAAACAAATTTTTCGAATATGTTTATTTCACTCTGTAACGCCATCTTTTGATGAAAACTATAAACTTTGATTAAAATTAATATTTGTTTTTGTTTTTGTTGTTGTTGATTTGATTCCAAAACAGAGAAAAAAAAATTCTATTAACCCTAGAAAGGTAACCTTATCGATATTGCGGGAAAGGTAACCTACGTAAATTTTACGTAGTTGATATGCCTAACTTATTTCCGCTATAAAAATTATTCATCTGATTATTTATGTTAAATTTTAACGTTTATTCATTGAATCACACCTCTATTTTATATTAAAGAAAAAAAAATCATTTTTCAAAAGTGGAAAGTTCAAAAATATCAAATCAAAGATATGGTGTAAATTTTGAATTTTTTTTTATTGTCAATTTTGAAATTATCACAGCGTCAAGAAAAAATGAAAAATTATCCTGTAAATATGATTAATCAATCGATGATTGTGTTTCGAAACATGATTGACAAATTTTTATCTGATATTCGCCACGGGGGCGGTGCCACAACGTTTACATCCGGTCGTTGTTAAACGCTTTTTGCAAGCATTTTAATTTTGAATAAAGTGAAAAACATAAACAAATGAACAGAAAAGACGTTTATTTCAAAAAATATTGCGAGAAAAAACGTTTTTGACAAGTGAAAAGATTAAAAAAAGAAAAAGATTAAAATTATTTTTATTCATAAATGACGTTTTTTGGGAAAAATTTCCGAAACTATCGCTCTCAGCAAAATTTTCTAAGATTTTTCTATGCTGATTCAGGCAACCATACGTAAATTTTACGTACAAGCTTTTACGTCTGAGCTTATAGATAACAAATAAAAGGCGAAAACTGGATCTTTTCTATTTCTAAAGGTGTAGAAATATATTCTTGAGGAATAGAAAGGGGTTCCAGCTGTCTTAGCATCGTGAGTGTTTTTTTGGAACATTTTGAAGTGCAAAAAGCATAAATTTTACGTAGGTTACCTTTCTAGGGTTAATTTGTTTATAACAAGGAAACAATAACAGAATACAAACACTATACATCCATTTAATCTAATTGTTACTTGATATGATGCTTTTATGATGATGGACTTTTGCACACAAAAACCGTGTGTTTGGTGTTCAAAAGCCTTTTTTTTCTGTACATGTACGCGTGGGTGGTGTATCCGATGAACACGGAGTAAATCAAATTTTAATCGTCAAATGAATTTATTTTCACTTTACTTTTATTACTGATATTAATGTGTTTGTGTTACCTTACCATCCACAATGATGATGATGATGATGATGATCAAATCAAATAAAATGAAATGGAAACCACAATGCTTCAATTTTCAAAAAAAAATTTCCTTTTCTTATTGAAAACAAACAAAACAAAAACAAAAAAAAAACCACAAAGTCAGCAACATGCACACACTCACGCATACAAATTGAAAAGAAATTGATTTGAAAGTAAAAGAGAGAGAGAGATTGAATGAATATTATATGATGATGATGAAAAAGCATTCACGAAAAACGTGTGTAATGTGAAAACCACCGGTCAAGAATTTATTTGTTTTCATATCTTTACACTTTTACCATTATTTTTTGTTGTAAAGAGAAACATTAAAACATCCGGATATCTCATCTCGCATTTTCATTTTTTTTTTTTTTTTTTGCTGACTTCATCATGACCATTAACCGACAATGGTGATGATGATGATGATATAGAATATTCGTGTGGTCCAAATCGATTCAAGAAGAACAAAAAAAAAATCCAAATCAAATGCATTGGAATAAAAAAAAAGCTTTCGATAATCTTTCGAAGACAAAATCTTTTACAACAACAACTACTAAATGGTCTTTGGATTCTCTTTTTTGTTTTTGTTTTGTTTGTCTTTTTTTTTGGTGGGTAGAAAAACTATAATTTAATCAATTTTGTTACGCGCACATTTTCTATCGATTCGATTTTTTTTCATATAAATCCGTCAAAGAAAATGTCGTCGACAGAAGAAAACAAGTTTTAGATCATCACTGATGATTATTATTTTCCGTCTTTTTTTCTTCTTCTTCTTTTTTCGTCAAGATGATTCTTCTTGTTATTTTTGTTTTCTGTGTTCTGGATTCAGATTTCGAATCATTATTCATTTTGGAAATGAATGAATCGTCGGCATTATCATTGATGTGTGTGTGTGTGTGTGTTCAATGATAACCCCTGTGAATGAAAAAAAAAAAGGAAATGATGAATGAATGAATGACTGACTGAATGGAAGAAAAAAAAAAGAAAATTTCTGCATCATTGGAACACTATGGGAAAACGTTGTTTTTCTGTTTTGTTTCCAGTCGTATGTGTGACATTTTTTTTTCCATTACTCAAATATTGATGTTGATGGTGGTGGTGGTGGATATATCTCTTTGCTCATTCATTCGAACTATTCCTATTTCCAATTCATTTTTAAGCCAGTCGATTCTTTGATTTTTTTTTATTTGGTCTTGCTTTTCACTTTCTTTTTTTTCGATTTATTGAACTGAAAATACCGTATTTGCCAACTATATTTCATTCATATGATAAACACACGGAATTCTAACCAATGGTTGATGATGATGATGATGATGATGATGATGAATCGCTGAGATTCTTTCTAATTGAATCTTTGAAAATCATTGTTGAATGTCTCTGAATGTTTTTTTCAAAGTTTTAAAAAATTTCGTTTGATGATTTTTTTTTGTTCTTCATCCAATGATCAAAGGATTTAATTGGCGCCTGTGTGTGTGTGCGTTGCGGAAATAAATCTTCATTCAATTCGATCTGTTTCAATTTGAAAAAAAATTTTTTAACCAACCAATGATATATGTGTATGCATAAGATTTTTTTTTTTTTTTTTTTTTTCGGAAAGTTTTCGCTTGAATGATTCAATGTCACGATGTTTGTGTGTGTGTGCGTGTGTGTTTTTTTCTTTCAATAGAAATTCACAGACTCACAGAAAATTGTCAACATATTCAATCTGCGATAGGTGTGTGTGTACATGCATGTGTGATCAATTTTTTTTTTTTTTAAATTTTCAAACAAATCCAATAGTCGATCGAATGAAATCCATCTATATCTATCTTCAAGCTATTTTTTTTCAAGACAAGATTGATGATGATGAGAAGCTAATAGATTGATACTAAATGGATTTTGGACTGTCACCAAAATTAACCATATCCAAAATGGACTATTGAATAGAAAAAAAAGAACGTTTCGTTTCGTAAGTGGAAAGGTTTTTTTATGCAATATTCACTTACTTGTGTCATTTCCGTTGTTGTATTTTTCTTTTCATTTCCATAGCTTCAAGTGTCCAAATGGAATGAACATTTTTTTTTTTTGAATGAAAGCCGGTTATGAATGCTTTCTTGAAAGTTTACATAATAATCATAACGACTTTGGTCATATTTTTATTTTTTTGGTTTTCCTTAAACCAGAAAAAAACGAATACGACGACGACGACGACAACAACAACGGAAATGAATCGGAATCTATTTGGTTGTTGAATATGAAGCAGTGGTTTTTTTTTGATAATGATGATGTCTGTTTGTGTGTGTGTGTGTGTGTGTGTAAATAAGACAAATTTCAGAATAAATAGTCATTAAGTGCAAATCAAATCATCATCACCATCATCATCATAGACAGTTGATTACTCGCTTAATAATATATAAATAGTTTGTTGTTGAAAAATGTAGGGCACATATTTGATCAAAAAAAAAAAAAATTTTGGACCATTTGGTTGATTTGGTATGTCATGTGCCGTGTTAGTGAGTAAATATTTACTACTTTGTCAATAAAAAGCCAACAATAAGTTATTTCGAAACTCTATTCAATCATTGCAATTGAATCACTTGTATACAAATCCATTTATTATGAGAATTGTTTTCATTCCACAAATGTAGATCAAGTTTTTTTTTGTTTGTTTGTTTGTTTTTCTGGTTGAATAGTGTACACTACTGGAATGGCTGACTGACTGACTGAATGATTGACCACACTGTTTATTTGTTGTTGTTGTTGTTGTTATTCTGAAGATTTTTTTTTTGCGACTGGAATCGAATGGCCATTCAGTTATTGATGAAGCAGATTTGATTCGAATATATAGGAAATGTTTTCGGGAAAAAAAATTTTCCGGAAATCTTACAATCCTCGAGTGCTTCAAGAATTTTTTTTTTTTTTTGAATAAATTGCACAGATATTTTTGATTTGAAAATAAAATAAAATGGAAAAAAAATCAATAAGACATCGACAATCGAAATAAAATATTTTGGCTGGACCAAATTGTCTTTTTTTTTTCGTTTGTTTGTTTGTTTGTTTGCCTCCCATTTTGTTCATTTCTTTTTCATTTTGGATTCAGTTTCGGCTCGATGAATACAGCTTATATTTGTTGTCCTATTTGGGATATAGAGAGAGAGAGAGAGAGAAAAGAATCTATGGAATTGAAAGTCTGAAAAATACAAATCAATTGGAAGTCAATTGACCGTCACTATTTTTATTTTTGATTTCTGTATCCTTTTTTTGCTGCTGCTGCTGCTGATGCTGCCCAAAAAAAACAAGCAAAAGAAAAAAAAGGAACACTAATTCTGTATCCATTCTTTGACATAGAAAAAAAACAAAAAAATCTATTCGATCGAATTCCTATCAAGAAGAAGTGGATGTACATTGTACACACACACACACACACACACAACATTGAAATTGAACATGGTATGATATACTGATGTATCTAAATAGAATTCTTTTCTGTGTGTGTATGTGAGTGTATGGCCATCTTCAAGTGTTTTGTCATTGTTTTTTTTCCCGAAATCATTTTCGTTTTCGTTGTTGTCGTCGTTGTGTCCATTCTGAAACCACAGATTTGAACATTTACCAAATGGTGATTCGTGGATTTCCAATGTTTTCTTTCTCTCTTCCGATGTTTCATTTCATCGAATATAGGTGAATAGGTTGAAGATCTTGATCTATTACAGAATTCTTGATTTAGTTTCCGTTTAGTTTTTCTTCTATTTCTTCGTTCATTTCAACCCGATCAGTCAGTATCAACTTTTTGAATTGATTTTTGTTGTTGTTATTTTTTGTCGTTCCGGACAC